CTAGCCTTAGGTTTGAGCATAGCTCACCATCGCTTCGGTGAGACTTAGTCGGACGCCCCCAGCCTTCAGGTTTTCTCTAGTCGCTTGACCCCAAGTCGCGACATACAGGAGGGCTTACTGACCTAGGGACAAGAGGTCGGAACTGAGGTCCCTAGGGTAGCAGAGGCCGGCTTATATACAGGGGAAGATAAGGGCAGACTGTGCGTGTTGGTCCATGCGCAGCGGGTCCATGCGCAGCATGCTGATGCGGCCTCGGGTGTCATGAGTTGGCATATGATCAGCATATATACCTCCAGTCAGATGTCAAGCCAAGCTTGACATTGCACCCTTTTGGTGTAGAGGTTATGATGTGAGACCGATGCATGCATGTAAATCCTTACACCGGGGGCTGGTGAGTCAGAGCGGCTGTGTCAGCGGAGCCCGAGCTGTGCCGTGCACTGCCGCCCATCTAATCTAATTGTACAGTAGATAGCGATGAGTCCATATCAGGTATGTAGTACAGAGGTTGTGGGTTTGAGCCTGTGAAAAGGAAAAAATTAAAAAACAGCTGGACACCATGTCAACTCGTGACAGCTCCTTTGTATCCTTTACTTACCTTCACTAACTAATACATTTCTTGTTTCTAGCCTTAGGTTTGAGCCTAGCTCACCATCACTTCAGTGAGATTAGTCAAATGCCCCCAGTGCCTCAGTTTAGGTTTCCTCTGTCGCTCGACCCTAAGTCACAACACATGGTCAGGAACGAGCTCGCAAGCTCGGGTGCACGAGTAGCCGGGGGCCGGAGTCCCTTATTGTAGTATATAACAACCCTGCACGATTTATGTACCACACGTGATTGTCCCTTACGGGCATCGCTATGCCCGTGGACAAACGCGCCCCGCACCATTCACACCATTGTTCCAACAAAACTTCCGTCCCATTCTGGCGCTGTAGATCGCCTTCACAACCGTGCACATATTCAATATGTATTGTAACATATCCATCCTTACTTTCTGCCATGTAAAGCATCCGATGGCAGACGGATTCTGCTGTTAATCAAAACATACGGTCAACCTGGCCATATCGGAACGTACACGAAGTCATGTCAAGGGTCTGTGTTGCCTGTACGCCTTTCTCCTGGTGACTATACACTGTACACAATATCGCAATGCGAACACACAGAGTGTGCTGAACGCAAACAGTAGAAAACACATTCGGTGATGCTCACCGGAAACCACGCGGTGAACTCCTTTGACTCCCACGTAAAGGTGAGTTGCAAATGGAAGAAGCCTTTACATTAAAATGAGCGGAGACCATCTGGACGAGTTCCGGCTCTAGCGTTCAATTCCACATCAGGCTTTGTCAGAGACGTGGTCCCCTGCGAGATATGCTACAGCACAGTGATCAGCAAGAGACAATGCCCTGCCGCGCTCACAATCGCTTTCTCTACAGACAGCCTTGTCGTCCGATGAGCCGCTATAGCTTGCTTCAATTGCATCTGTATCATGTATATGAGGGAAACCAACTTACCTCATAGGGAGCTCGAGCTCGACCCTTCACATGCGTGCATTTGCTACTCTTTATAGTAACTTGTCTAGAAGGACTGTCGCTCATCAGTGGGGCCACGATACCTGCGAAAGTTGTCTGCTGCAGCACTTCAGACTCGCGTTGCAGACCTAGTGGTGCTCCTCCATGCTAAATTCTCTCCCGACATGTCTCTATGATCGAGCGACTGAGCAGAGACCGATGATGCCGCTACGCGCCATGAGAAACGTTTTAAACGAGCCAAGTCTGAGCTTCTCACAGAGACCTGATCAATAGATTTTCCATGCACTTCAGGAGACACAGGAAAATGAGTCCTGAAGAGCCTCAACGACGTCAATGATTGCGTAAATGGCATAAGATCGGGAACATGCTCACCTCTTGGGCGTTCTCATTGGAACATTCAAGTGGAAGGGTCAATCTGTAACATTCAAAGCATTTGGGCTATTGGACTGGGCATTCTTTGCAGAAGTCAGACCAGCCTTTGAGATTTATACGAGACGTGTGGATGGGTCGATGTAGACACCCGTTCCTTCCTCCAGTGAGATCCGATCGGTCCCACACTCACGCTCATTGCCTCTGAGGTTCTTCACTCACAAGACGGATGTCGTCTTCGCATGCCCTACTGCGCGTCCACGATAGCACAGCCATTCATATAAGCCCCTCCTCCCCCCCGGCGGTGACGTGTTTCGCTTCGACGCACTCTCTTGTCTTTCTTTCTCCAGTGAGGCGTGTCTACGCCAATATATATAGCTCCTTTCTGGACCAGCCAAGGTGTTAGCATATACAAGTGCCAATGATGACTGCACAGATACCTCCTGGCCCATGTTGCCCTCCTCACGCCACTCTCGCGCCCCAGGTTTGCGCCGCTTAGCTATGCGTCGTTCGGGAAAGGCAAAGCTCGAGCCTTCGTAGAGTGCGGTACAGATGGAGTAAATACTCCTTGAAGTACATCATCTTGCTATTTGTCGTGCAAGCTGACGCATATATGACTGTAGAATACACACTGTACTTTCTGGGAATCGTCCAGCTTCGAAACCGGAATCAATACTGCATTTCAGCTGCTCGCTTGTTAAACTTCAGTCTATCCATTCGCTGCGAAATTATGCACCCATCCGTCACTGCTTGTGCGGAGAACCTCTATGCCTTCTTGCTGTTCATTCTTGTCTGGCTACCCACCGCGCATTTCGCGCTGAGCTCATCCGTCAAGGATATGAGCGATAACCCCCACGTATACGTAGTCAGTCTCGCCCACACGTCAATATGCAAGGTTTCACGATAGACGGCTGCGAGCGCATCACATGCGAGGCGGATGTACTTCGAGGCAGTCGGAAGAGCGGCATGAACGGCCAACACCCCCGCGAACTCCTCTTCTACTGCCAGCGCATCTGCCTTCTTGCACTCCTCCGAGTTGAGCTTCAGGAGAAGGCACACATGTCGATAGAAAGGTGCAAAGCGCTGGCTGGCGCGATATGCCAGTGAGTATCGTGGTCGTTTTTTGTGCTTATTCCGATTATCAGCGCTGGCAGGCTGGACGAGCACCCAGGTCGCTAAAAGCTTCTCGCTAGAATATGCGCGTCGAAGCGCACGCGGAACTTGTGCCTCATGCCCTTACACGCCGGATGCAGAGCACCGCTGGTGACATCGCTTTCCGCACGAATCGTGGACATTATCAAGCCTAGGCCAGGTCGTTCGCTAACTTGCTCAGCCTTCGCCAGACGGAACGGCAATTACTGTACGCGACATGTTCTGCCATGCACATGATTGAATCGTCGCTGTATGGGTGAACGTGAGCTGATTCTTCAGGGACAGATCGCGAAGTACGTCCTCCTCTATGCCCTTCAAGGCCTCTTCGTAGTTAAGCAACATACGCACACCTACAACGGCATAGGCCAGCGTCCTTCATAAGATGTTGTATTTAATCGTACATCGGTCTTAATATAATAAGTTATGCGGATATGATATGGTTCCCGAGGGAGACAAACGTTATGTCTCTCTTCTCCTTTTGATGCGGCCCTTGCTTTCACTGAAAGTGTTCGTTATTAATCAGACAATATACATCACGCAGAAAATACGTACGCAAAGGCTTGGTTTTTCCTTTTGCGGCTTTCCTTCTTGACCGCATTGTGCTGTAGTTTTCGTTTCATTGAAGCCTCCGGGTTCGTCGTCGCCTGAGCGCGAGCATTATCAGAATCAAGCCAGATCTATGAATTATGGAAAACACTCACTCGGACTGCGCGCACATTGCGCCGCTCTCTCCGCACGCCTAGGACTGTCTGGCGGATCCGGTTGTACACATCTGCGAATTTGGTTGTCCCGACCTTGTTCTGCACGAGGTCCTGTAGCTCGACCGCTAGTGTCTTGAGCTCACCTGGAGAATGAGGCACGGTTAATATACCAGCACATTTCGCTATCGACAATGATGCGCACCAAATTGCGGATCGCGAATAGTGTCATCCTCTGTGATGCGGTACACGGGGGATAGGATGTGCATGAGGAAGTGTTCGGTCTGCGATGCATCCATGTGCGACACCATTGCGGCGAACCACTTCAGTACAGAGGTGGGCTGGTGAATCCAGTTCTCCTATAATGAATGTAAGCGGCCATAAGCAATCCAGGAAACGCTACGCACAGGACTAGATGGCTTATTGCGGCGTGCTACGAGCGCATGTCGCGCCTGGTATGAGAGCTTAGATAATAGCCATGCAAGCGGGTATTGTTCAGCGTCGCCTTCAGCTTCGCTTTCGTCCTCGCGGTCGGCTTCTTCCTCTTCTGAGCCGCTGAGTTCCTGTTTGTGTAACGGGGCGTCCAGAGTGCAGAAGCACTTCCCAATGTAGAACAAGTTCTTTACGATCTGCAAACTCAGCGCAGCGTCTAGGTTGGGGCTACGCAGTTGCAAACATAGCTTCTTCGTCACGTCTTCCATGCCCACTCGGGAGAACGGCGAGTTGTCCGGGAGCTTAGGATTTGGAGCAGCTACTGGTGTCGCCGCGAACAGTAAGCCAAGTATTCTGCACGAAGCTGTACGTGTCCATGCATGAGGGTAGACGAGATGCTCGACTACGACTGGCCAATCCACCTTGTCCTGTTGTACAGTGAGATCAGGAATGACCCGGAGGAGCTTCGCGAAGACGAGTAGTGCGTGATACGATATCTGCCATTCTACATCTTGTTCCGCGAGATCCTTCTCGACCTCGATAGCATCTGACTCAAGGATTTGAGCGCTGTACTCGAGGGCGCCGTTCAGGTCTTCGAGAATAGATGAAACATACGGCCCGACATCCTTCCCCATTAGGTCTACGATGATGCCGCATACCTGAAGCGATACTCGAGCTAATTGAGGTTGCGCTTGCTGGATCGCCCACAAGTGGACGTGCGACATGATGATGTTCCGCTGCGCGTCAGCTAGACGCGCGAAGAGACTCTTGATGAGCTCTGCAGCCATCTCGCAGCACTTCGGTGAGTCGTCGTTTGCTATAACCATGACAAGCGCAACAAATAGCAGGTCGGAATACTCTCGCACGAGATCAACCTGGAACTTGGCGATGATTGCGCCGAGGAGCTCCATCACCGACTTGCGACCACTCTCGTAAACGTACGAAAGGTTCTTAGCCAGCAACGTCATGTGGTTTCGTAGACGGCCCTTGCCTTGAGGATAGTCTAGGAGGAACTGCAGGAGCACCCCTCGGCAGAGCTCTTGAACTTGTGGTGACTGGCTGGTAACCATGATTTTCGACACCTTGTCCATCAGGTCATAGATTTCAGGAACCACGAGTTTCCGCGTAACTATGGCGCGCAACATGGTGAAGACCGAAGCCTGACGTGTCGGTTCTTCGAGATCTGGCGACAACAGCTCTAGGAGGTATATGAGGTCCTTCTCCTTGATTTGTGCGCCTGGCTGCTCTCGAAGGATAGTCGCAAGTGACTTGAATGCAGTCTGGACTACCTCAGACTCGGTCGAACCGGCTTGCTTGACAACATCGATAATCTGGCGGATGAAGACAGGAATGGACTTCCCAGCGGCCTTGAGTGGGCACTTCAGAATTGCTGCCGCTGCTCTCATTCCGGGGATGACTACTTGCATGCGATCAGAATAGAGCGTATTGCCAATCGTCGCCACCATCGATTCAAGGCGAGTGATTACTTCAGGGTCATTGAAGTCGAATCGATTTCGGCGATGCGCCGTGATGAAGAGGTCAATACCGAAGGCAACAAATCTAGTAGAGTCAGCCGTAAACCCATGACATAATGCCAAGATCGCTTACCTGAACGAATTATTGGCGTAGTGGTCCAAATCACGCTCAACCTTCCGCTTCGTCTGCACAATAGCATCATCACGGACTTTGCCTCCCTTGCGTCGCACTTGAGGAGCCTCCTTCAGGAATTTGGCGTTTTGGCTGATGAGCGTATGACATAAGACGAGCAACTCCTTTGGTACGAGATGCTCATTCGCATTGAGCCCGCCTGCTATCCTGCGCAGAATATCGTCAACTTGCTGCAACACCTTCAGCGATTCGGTCTCCTTCAGGATGTTCCGAATCGGAAGAAGCAGGTTACTGATTTTGCAAGGTGTGATGAACTTAGCCATGATACTAAATGAGTCGAGTGCCTTCGTCGCAGAGGACCGAACCTCGCGCATCTTCGTCTTGAAGTCCTCTGACTGAACATCCTTCCCAGACTCTCCGAAGATGACCTCGGCAGAGACATGAGCGACATCATTAACGCAGTCATCCAGGGTCTTGAAAAGGACTGCATTGTCACCCGTGGTTACATGGACAAGTAGTGCATGCGCCACGAAAGCCAAGACGTGCAAGTGTGGTCCCCGTAAAAGTGCGGCTCTTAGTTCTCGTAAGATGAGGGGCAAATAGCTGGGTCCTAAGATGATGGCAATGCGGCATACAGTCTCCTTAGCGAGATCGCGGGTCTCTTGAGACTTGCTTCGAAGAACTTGACAGAGGACTGTCAGTAATCGAGTGATCTGAGTTTCTCGAGTAATTTGAGGGAGATGTCGAGCCACTTGTATTACTCCTACGGCGATCGGGATCCTCAGACTGTCCTCTGTCTCATTCCTGTCTTCAAGGTGATGGAGAAGTCTAGGCAACAGGCGCTGATTCACCGCATCCGCGATTCTCGCTGTCTGCTGGACGCTGACGACCTGAACCGCAGGCGTGGATGGAATGAGAGCCTCGCCTTCGATGATAGGTTGTTCCTCCTGGACGTCAACGTCGTCGGCGTCTTGTGGCGCCTCCGGCTCCTCAATGACATCCTCCATTGGAAAATGGAAGTTGTCCAGGATAGCGACGAGAACACGGACATAGATCTTTTCGGAAGCGTCTTTGTTTCTCGACAACCGTAGATATTGTTGTGTGAGTGCAAGGTATGCTCCCCAATTGAGCTGCCGCGCCATTCTTCCGGTAGCGTTGATAGCTTCATTGACGAGGAGATGATCGACCGAACTACTCGAGACAATAAAATTCCCTATCAGAGGTACGAAGACTTCGGCGAGGGTTGAACTACGCAAATGACCTTCGTCACAGCGCTCCGCGAGACGACGAATGGCCCTTGTACGACGATGCAGTTGAACGTGTAGCACATTGTTGAAGAAGTTGGCCTCGTCGTCCCCTCCAGCAAGTAGAACGCGCATCTCTTGTAAGGACTTGATCCGGTCGCACGTGGAAACCGCATACGAAATCACGGCCATGATCTCTGCCCTAACCATCTCATTCTTCGAGCGGAGTCCATTCTTGAGTCCAGGATAGAGAAGCTTGACGAAGACAGCTTCATACTCAAGATCATCACTACCTGCGACGCGGTCAATGAAGCGCTTCATGGTAAGAGACGCGTTATTCCTGACAGTGAGTTCAGTTGGATCCTGGATGAAGTTAAGCATGTTGCGAAGAATGGGAATCCAATGTCTGGGAGAGAAGGAAGAATGAAGTGTGTCGTTCAAGCTCGCAAAAGCGGACAAACGACGATCGAAGTCAGGTTCGTCGATTCGCTTCGTAGAATATGCGTTCAGTGCCTCCAAGAGATCAGCGAGGTACGAGATCGAGGGATCGAGTTGGGCCAAGCGCTGCATGGCGGCTACGAGCGACGTCCGCGCTTGTCTAGAACGCAGGGATTGGAATAAGAACGCCAACAAGCTCAAAGTCCTATCGTAGATCTGCGACGCAGGGTTCGAGAGATCTGGAACAAGCGGGAAAAGGCTGCACATGATTGTTGCTATGTCCGTCTTGAGCTTCTCTGGCACGACCTTGGCGGGCTTGCGGAGAGGGGCGGAGAACAAATCCAGAAGCATAGATGCCTGCACGCCGTCCGTGAGGTAGGGTGCAATCTGTGATAGGATGGTAATCTGGCGCCGACCAAGAGTGTCAGCGAACGCTATGTTGCCTTTCGTTCGTTCGACCAAAGTTGTGATGTTGGTGAGTAGATGAGACACATGAGGCTTGAGCAGGACGTCCCGCATGGCCACGTCGTCATCCGAGAGACTCAGTATACGGTCGACGATATCAAAGACTTTTGCCACGACAGCAGGTTTGACGTTGGTCGCGACGAGACAATCATATATTTTGGGCAGCGTATGATCATCGTAGTCTACCAGGAACCGTGCATATTCGCCCCGAGTGGTCCAGACGTAGAAAAGCTCCAGGAGTGCCGAGGGAGCCTGTGTATTCTCCAAGTCCAAACTCGGCAAACGGGGGGAGATGAACGCCCTGTATGCCTCTGCCATATAACGAGTAAAGTCGAAGGTGATCGGGCAGCGGAAGAAGTCTGTGAACCGTTTGAGACCCAGCTGTCGTATAGAACGTGTAGCCCTGGAAGACCCTTCCGGTTCATCATCGATGTCCGACTCATCGTCTTCATCATCTCCTTCTTTAGTGCCCTCTTGTCTCCGCAAATCAATACGCGTCTGTGCACTTCCGACGAGGTCGAATAATGTCTGGAGCAGAGATGACCATTGTGTTGTAAGCCGCGAGCCGAGATGCTTCAGGACGTCGCCAAGCAAAGTGAGGAACCCAATCTGCTGTTTCTCGGAGACACTATTGGAGACTTCGTGGATGGTGAACGGCTCTTCGGCGTCCAATACCGCATCGCTCAAGATGGGACGCAGCATGAGGTCGATGAGTAGACGCAGCTCCTCGTCCGTGCATCCCCCAAAAGCTGAAAGCACGGCAGCGCGTCTGTCGGCTCCTCGCGAGCGCCCGCGCTTCTCTAGCATCAGGCCGAAGAGCAATCGAATGATCACGTCGACCAGCTCCGCTCGATCGGTCTGCTCCATCTCCGCTATGTCCAGTTGCGTGAGATCGTCGCGCCATGTCGTGTCATCGAGAAGTGAGCGGAGCATGTCCTCGTGCGGAGAGAGATGGGGCGACTTGTACGTCAGCAGGCAGGACAGTGCCAGGCGTTGTAGCGGCCGATCGGCGTGGGACAGCAAGGAAACGTACAAGGACTTCATGGTTTCCGTCGAGCGCAATGCCTTTGGGTTGACGAACTTGGAGAAGAGCGTGAGCCATGAGCTCAGTTTGTGACGCGGCAGTTTCGAGGTCGCATCGGGGCCAGCGAGCGAGAGGAAGAAGGGGACGAGGTCGCGACTGTGTTTCTCAGCCAACGAGGAACATTCTCCAAGGGTCGAAAGCAGCTGTGCTTCATACGTGTTGGGATCGAATCGATCGCCTGTGTTCTGGTCCTGCATAATGTTCAACATTCATGCTGTTACGATGCGGCGTTTGGAACGCAACATACCTGGATTATACTATGTTGAGTGCTGTGATGTCCTAACCATCTGGATATGGCGCTACGCAGCTTGTGAGCACTCGGATCTCTCCATGTCCGCTCTTCCTCCCATACGTCGTCGCCGTCCACATCCGACGCATTTGTAATCCAACTCGGCGGACTGTAAAGCCCTTCTCCGGTCGCAGAACCCTGTAGCTCCTGGAATAACAGACGCCAGACCAGGTCACCAAACCGTTCCGACATCAGAGACAATGCTGCAGCAGCCGGCGACCAGAGAGGTCGCAAGTTGACCTTGAGTTGGGCTGTAAATCACGGTCAATCGCGCATTTACAGGCTTTAAATGTCAAGGATACTCACCGATGAGCCAGCGACAGCAGACATCCGCACTCACTTCGTCGTCGTCCTGGATTACCACTGGAAGTCGACTGATCCGCAACACGCGCTCGCGCACTCCTTGCACGTCAAGCGAAACTTCTTCAGCTTGGAGGCAGCGCTTGAGCACGTCGACTATGGCCGAGCTCGACTTCACCATTGGGGACGCGAGTAGCCGCAGGGTGCCGAGCCGAAGAGAACGAGAGTGAGACAACAGAGACGACTGCAACGACGGATACATATCGTCGAATGACGTATCCTGGCTCTTCGCGGTCCTACAGTGATTTGTTAGCCATCAAGATTTTTGATCGGAGGGAACGTCATACCCAGCACGCAGCAGCGAGACTAGCCCGTTGATCACAAAGCTCGACCAGCTCCAATTCTGCACAACCTTCTGCGTCCAGCGCGCCACATCCACATTCTCAGCCCACTCCGCCGACGGACGGTCTGCGAGACAGCCCAGACACGCGCCAAGCACCCACGCAGTATTCGCACACGTCTCCTCATACTCCTCCCGCCCGTCCGCCCTCTCGAGCGCGCTCTCCACGATCCTGACGCACAGCGGCGCGAGCGACGCCAGCAGCGGAGACAGCGCCAACACGTCGCGCAGCAGCAGCACGCTCTCCGCGGCGTGCTCCCAGCGCGCGAAACGGCTGTCGACCCACGCCTGCACGCGCTGCTTCCACACGATGTCCACGCTCGCGAGGCGCCTCTCCCGCTGGAGCGCCGCAAGCAGCTCCGCCGTCTCCCGCGCGTGGCTCTGCAGGAGCGCGGGCGTGTGCTTGAGGACGTGCGGCAACGCGAGCGACTTCCAGCCGCCCCAGCCGAGGTCCGACAGCGCCGCGCACAGCTCGAGCGCAAGAGTTGGGCGCTCCCAAACGCGCTCGAGCACCTTCCGGCCGGGGCCCATCCAGAGCGCCATGTCGCCCGCGGTGAGCGTGGCTGTGGAGAACTTGAGGACCGCGGGATGTAGGAGATCATTCAGCGGCAGCGACCCGCAGTGAGACAGCAATGAAGAGAGGTGGCTCGCTGCGAAAGACAGCATCAGCGGATAGGTACCAGGCTGAGAGTATAGGAGCACCCACGATTCATCCTCGAACCCTGCCGAATTGAACAGGCGACCGTGACCACTTCGAGCATCCGGCGGAGAGGTTCCTCGTCCTGCGGTGATTGTATGCATTCGCCAAACCGCTGGACCAGGACGTCTGCGACAGGTGCGAACTGCTGAGTACCCTTACAGTGGTGCACGAGCGCTGTGATCACACGGCGTATGAGCGTATGTGTGGCTTCCGCACTTTCGCACGTTAAATGGTACCGCACGAGCGGAGCAACGAGAGACGCAGTAGCCGTGTGCAGTGTTTGTGACACCGACTTTGAGTAGGGTTAGCTAATGTAGACACGCCAGAACACAAGAGAACGCACCTTGCACGCGAAGACGAATATCCACGCACACGCGTCCGGCAGCCCATCGGCGCTCATAGCAACCAACGCAACACATTGCTCTCTTGCACCCGTCTTCAGCCTCCGGATAGTTGCACCCCACACCTCCGCCGTCGCGCGCTGTACCTCTGGGTCGCACTTCGGCAATGTCTCACGGAAGATCGCCCATGCCTGCCGCAAAAGCTCCTCATCCACCGCAGGGACGAGGACGTACTTGAACAGGGAAGAGAATGTCGCAAGCAACGCCGTAAGCGTCGGCGCAGACAGTGAGCGGGGCAGCAGTTGGATGAGACGTCGCAGGACAGCGGGGTACTTCGGCGCGAGCGTCGTGCGGAGGTCGTGCGCGAGCTTTTGGAAGAGGTCGAGGAGCGCCTTGAGCGCTTCGTCGTCTGCCTCGGCCAGCGCGCCTAGCCAAAGGTCCACGATGGACTCCCAGTTGTGCACCAGGAGGGGCATCGACGCCGAGAGCCCGCCGGCGCCATTGGCAAATGTGATGAACGCAGGGGAGAGGTTGAGTTCCTTCCAGTGCTCGAGGGCTTCGTGAAAATGGGAGTCGTTGTCCTGCGGGAGTAACGTCAGCGAATAGCATGGAGGATAACACTGCGGTAGGGCGGCATAGGCAGTGCAGATCCGGATCGACGTGAAATCTGCCTCGCGATATATGCTCGGGGGATACGCGGATGTATCTGAGGCCTCTTTTCTCGCAGCTGAACCCCGAGCACGACCTGATTAGCCCATGCCATTCCCCACTACCGACAATGAAGGACCAGCGAGAATCAGCTAAAGGACTCACCCCGATGTCGCGGTCAAACTGGTTCTGGATGAGCGCAGATGGAAGATGTACTTCCTGCAGAGACTTCTTGTATGACTGATGCTGTGGGCGAACAAAGTGAAGACTTGAACAGCCGAATAATGCACGGAGGACGTACTCTGAATCGTTTCGCTGGCCGTTCATCCTCATGTGAAGCCATTTTTGCGGTTTCCAACCTCGCCCTACAAGGAACGTATCCCGGACTTCAAAGTGTAGAAACGAAAAGCAGATCAAGAGCAAAGTCCGAAACCAAGTGTGAAAGGAGCAGCAGCCTGAAGAAACGCTCAAAATTCTGAGCTTGTTAGCGCTCATTGAGATCTCAGATCTGGCGATCGAAACATTGGGCGCTTACATGAACACCTCAACCTCGAACGCCTACTTTTCAAGATTTACTTACACTCATAGGTTTCTTGTACTTCGCAGATATATTTGGAATACTGTAGAGTATATATCCATCCTCGCATAACACCTAGTTTTAAAGGCTTGACACTGTTGCCAATTCGACATTACGTGGTCACGTGCACAGGGCCCATCACGTTTAATGTCGGTTGAATATGAACTCCCTGGACTTGGCTCTAGACCCCGTTCGCTGTTCTTCGGCCAGGTGTCTATGCCATACTAAGTAGCCCTTCTATGCCCCTCACTTCCTCCTCATCATCATCCTAACAACCCTCGACGCCTTGTACTCTCTGACAAGGCAGGCACAACTCTCACGTCAAATACCGCTTGTGCCTTATCTCACCACGCCGCCCAGAGCACTACGCCGCATCGCTTCTTCATTCCTCCCAACGACGCCGACGACCTTCTTTCACTCACATTCTTTCGTACGTGCTTTCATTCATTTCTATCGGTGAGACGCATCGCACACGATTCAAGAACCTGCGCTCACATTACGCCCAGCTGTCCGATCACTCAACGCACGCCATGTCTTCAGCCACCGCATCATCTTCGCCATCCACTTCCGCTTCCGCTTCCCCCTCTTCCTCTTCCTCTTCAAATAACACTGCTATTGCCCTGGGGGTCAGTCTTTCCATCGTAGCGCTACTGGCTATCGCGCTCTTTATCTTCTGGTTCCTCCGGCGGCGTCGCCCCCACGTCTCCAGCCAGCCGCACACGACTGTCCGGCGCAACACAGTCGTCGACCTCAGCAATCCGGCATTCCGTGTCACGCCCTTTGGTTCGCCAGATGGCGACACGCCCCGCTTTGGTGAGTACTCTTATCGTTGTGTGTACGGGCGACTTTCCAGCTCTGAGATGCGCATCGCTGTGCACACTCCTTGTGCGTGCTGCAGTTGCGTAGTACCGTGTGCTCCTTTAGTCCTTGTCACTGGCCGCCAGTAGCCAGACATATCGAGACGGAAGCGGAGACAAGCCAGTCACACCACTAAGCACAACCGAAGCGCACCGCCTAAGCTATACGCAGGGCTGAGCGTATACTAGACTGCGCCCGTGTCCACGCCCCTACGAACCGCCGCTAACCAGCCACCCTCCACAGTGCACGAACCGGGCGCGAACATGCGTGTTGCGCACCGCCGCGACGACGGCGGGTGGGAGTTCTCCGAGATGACGCCGGACAACTGGTCGACGTTCGACCTCCCAACCCCGCTTGCCGGCCGCCACTCGCTCTCGGGCCGCTCCTCGCTCAGCTGCGTGTCCGCGCTGGGCAGCAAGGAGAAGCTGAAGCTGCAGCCCGGCGAGCTCACCACACGCGGGTTCATCGAGCACGACGGGGACTACGACAATCCGCCGCCGGCGTACGAGCGTGCGGTAGGGCCGAGCCGCGGCCCGGGAGAGGTGTAGGGGCGCATCTCGGACTACTGGTTTTGTTTACGTCTGTTTATGTTTATGTGCGTGCTTTTGGTATTGTCCGCTTATGTTTCATCGCTTTTGCTTTCTATGTTCTCGACGCTGTGCTCTCAACCAAGCTCGCTGTATCTGCTTACTGAGCATGTAACAACAAGGTCTGAATGTCGTCTTCTCGTCTGTGCAAGTTCGAGATGGAAGTTTGGGCGTGCCCATTGATTATACCAGTGGAACTTTGTCTCACTAGTTCTGAGGGAAACGACATGCGTCGCGCAGTGATGTCTTACAGTGATATAAGGTCTCATGCATCGAACGAAGCAGATCATGAGCCGCATTGCTCTATCCCCGGCCCGGTGACATTTCGCTCGTTGGTCTTGCTCCGCGCTGAAATTTCATTGTGCGTATTCATTTCCATTTCCATTGTCATTCAGTATCTTTCAATGCACGCAAGAATCTGTTTGGCTGGCCGGGCATGATATGTCAAGTCAGGGCACAGCTACAGTTGACGATTGACAATGGCGAAGATGCATGATCTGTTCATTGCAGGTGTAATAACGCGAGGCGTATTCTTGGTCTCGCCTATTGCGGTCCATTATTGCGACTGAGGCAGAGGTTCGTCGCCGGCACATGCTTCTTGGTACCGCAAGTATTGACAGAGCGCCTTCAAAGGGGGCGGAACACTCTAATAGCGACGCATGTCTGTGGTACGAGTGGGAGAATATGCAGCATTGGGTAGGAATCTGCAGGATGTATGGCTTTGCGTGAATGACCCTTCACATGCGGCGTCATCGAATGATCGTTTCCGGTGGCGCATCAAAGATGAGTACATTCGTATTTGCTTCCTGATCTGTTACCTCACGGAAACATACGAAGTGACTCCCTTCACGCTCTCATTCTTTCCACCAGATCACCCAAGTTGGCCGCGCATGCGTTCCATTCAGGAACGCCAGGAAGTTTGTGGAGCTCTGATGCTACTCATCTCTTCAAACATGACGCGGACAGCTCGTTCGGCTTTGCAAATTGGAGTACGATGTGTCATACTGGTCACTATTTGCAGTCCGCTGTCAATCTCTGCGGTGACGAGACCAAGATGCGATCAATATATAAAAGCAGGCGTGAAGATGCGGTCGTCGCAGTTGCTTTTGATACCATCCGCAATATCAAGACGAATGATGCTGATCACCAGCTTCCTGAAAATTTTCTGCAATCTGTGAGGCTGCGTTTTCATTTATCAAACCTTGACTGAAAAGATAAATACTTGATTTACGATGAGGTGTGGCAAGTCACTTGTTCATGTACAATGACTATGTAGTGTGTTCTACATCTCATCTACAACCAATTTCATGTCAATGCCCCTACCCGAGAATGCGTGTCAGGACCATGATTCCGATATGGCCGGACCCGGCAAGTATTGTCACAGCCACAGCTTACAAAAGTAAGCTGTTGTTTCGGCCCGAAGTCCGCTTACGCACACATTGAGTTCGACAGGTCAAACAATGAGGAATCAACTGTTATGTGTCATATGAAGCTTATCATAAAATATGTCAATCACGGGTAAATGAGGCGGTTCCTCATCGGTCTCACGAACTTAGCCCTTCTCCGAGGGCACTTGGCAACCATATGTTATCACGCATCTCCAGCGCCTCATCTCGCGGCCTTCAGCAGCATGTGCGTATTCATATCATTCGTCAGTACTAAATATTAATGGCCAGTCCGAGACAGTATATTTGCTTGGATGCAGGCAATACGGAGGTCGCCTGCCATGACAATCGGCACAGGAGCGCGACAGAAATGTCTATCTGGGTTGCTAGTCTTCAATCACGCCACACTGCCTTGTTTCGATTTCACTTCGATCAATCAGCTAACATTATGACTCCGGGCCCGATAGGTGGCGGCCCTTTTAACATATATATATATCGGATGCTAGTCCTCAGAGCGGTGCCCTCAAACTTCTGGCAAGACTTCAAATCGTCTTTCATACGCACAATGTCATCTGAGTCATCTAGCCTGAGCGCCGAGCAAATTAGCATCGCTTGGTATGGGTGAGTATTCGCACTTGCCTAGCATCTCACAAAATTGTCTAAGAGTACGATGACTTGTCCCCTCGGTAGTTGGATAGGCACTCAAATTAGCAATGCTGCTTTCGGTCAGTGGCACGACTCTCATAAGCGCTGTTGATGCAGATCTTACCCACGACAACATAAGCAATGTTCATATACAATTATATCATCTCCTTCGACCAAGAATACCGAACTGTTTGGTCTCGCAGAATCACAGGAGCGAGCGCAATATATGTGGCCCTTCAGACCATGGCTTTTGTAAATTTCATTGCATTCATATACGACACAATGGTTTCATCGTGCAGAGTGAGTTACAGTGTCTTATAAACTTTCTCGGTCTGAGTTTATATTCTAGAGGTGACGTCTGATTTCAATAATATGAAGTGTCAGCTGCCTCATTGACGTGTGAGCTCACACGGGTGCAAGTCTTTACATTGGCGATGTGGTGGGCACTGCTCCCCTCATTGGTCTGTATTTTGCTCAAGCAGGTATACTCTCTCTCTCTCTCTCTTTATGATACTATGCTCGCGTTCAGTGATGTGGTGTCCAGGTTTTGCTGCAATACGAGTCTATGCTATCAATGGCTTGCGGTGGAAAATGGCTGCTGTCGTGATGGTACTGGGGCTTGTTCCAGTTAGCCAGAATATAGTACGTCGTACTTCGATACAGGCGTGCTTTCATTCACTCACTCACATGTTTCAGTACATCATTTCCGTCACCTCCTTAATGTATACACCCGATTCCTGCACTCTGTGGACAAGCCTGACATTCGCGTCTACTATTGAGTACGTTACAGTGTTCCTATCTTGAGTTTATAGTTTCACATTCAAATGTCTGCTAAGATGTAAAGTTTCTGAGTGAAGAGAGCTCAGTGACCTCCTGAATGCTGACAAACGGTTTTTTTTCCTTAGCCATCCTTATTTCTCAAGTATGCCTTGTTCTCTCCAATCTCCTTGTTGTTGTCGCAACATGGTATGCCGCACGCTCCCGCGGAACAATTGCTTCGTCCGACGGCGGAGGATCTCTCATGACTATACTCATCCGGGATGGTGTGTCCTGTGCTTATAATGATTGCGAACTGTTCACATAAACATCTGTATACACAGGAATTGCCCACTTTGCGTATGTTCTTCATTTTATAACATCCCTGTACCTGCAAACCATGAGTATCTACAGAGTAGTAGTTGCGCTGAATGTAGCCAACATTGTCGCATTACTGCTTACAAAGGTCAGTGTGCATATATAGTGGCTATGGAGAAACTCAACATTTAGTAACATAACATAACCAGGGTGTCTTCAGCTTTACAGGTGCTTCGGAGCTGTGCGGATATTCTCTGCCTGAATTGGTTCTCACAATATCTGACAGTCGTAATACAGAATCAGCACTGTTGTAATCCAACGTTTCTTCCTCAATCTTCGCCAACTGTCTACTAGCTCTGACAGCATTGGAAATACCTGCTCTTCGTATGGCAGCTCATTTCCCAGGTTTGCATCGAGGATTATTGGTAACATGGGGGAGATGCTTGAGAGCAGCCCTCTCGCTTTTGAAGATGACTTGGACCACCAGGAGACCGACCTTGATGACACAATAAACTCTGAAAGTAGCAACCATCTGTACTTCGGCGAAGAACCTTCCCCTGGGGCAGATGAACGTGGATTGGTGCCTCTGGCCGAGGAAGCTTCTAGTGAGCACGGAGCTTGCGACAATGTGGTTGATGAAGAAGAGATCACTGTGATCTCGAATAATATTTTAGACCGAGAACAAAGTAAACCGGTGAGTCTGAGTATCTGGATCGAAGCGCTTTGTCTAACCTGACCCAAAAATGCTGTCTCAGTGAACGTCACCGACCGGTTCGCGGGCCGGACAAATATCGTGCTGATGGCATGTTCTGGCTACACTTTGTTCTCTACCCTTATACTTGCGAGACTCTCCAATCTACTATTAGAGATATGCACATCGACCTTCCGTCCCTTATCTTGCTTTGATATCTTTTCGACTTATCTTGAGCCGCCTCCTGAGCTTTTGAGCTCCTTAAAGCATCTACAGCGTCATCAATGCTGTTCTCTCATTTCCGGGCTCTCTTATCCCTACCTTCGCCATACTGGCTATAGCATGTACCTCATACAGGCTGTCTAGGTCTTTCCGATTGACATCAGAGCTGTCAAATGACATATGCCTCGAGGCTGATTATATGCCTCGCAATACAAGCACAGGAGAGGCTTTCCATTAGCAGCGATGGCGACATGACGCGCTAGAATTTCAACGCGAGCGAGGGTTAGGTACAAATGAACCGACGTGACAACGCACCAATACGCGAGATATAAACACCCCGGGACCGCTTCGCAATCACCTCAAGGCGCAGTGCACGCGTATAATGCGAAATGCCGGGTGCGCGGTGACCTTAGCCCACTTCAGTTCCCCTGTTCATTTGGAAATATCGCCGCCTTGTAAATACACGGGGCAACTTGCGCATATGCAAAGTGATCTAGTCTCGTTTCCCAGCCTCAATACTCATCATCGTAGCTCAGGCTGATGGAGATTAAGGGATCGTTGCAGAGAGGGAAAACTCACGCTTGGCGGTACGTGGTAGCGACAGGAGTCTTTCCATTGATTCCACGATCTGCCTGTTTCACGACCCAGTAGAAGTGTTTATGTAGAAGCGAAGGAAGCCGTACTGCTGTACTTGAATCACCAAAAGAAGAATCTGCGCTGCATGACCGCTTTGATTAAAAAAATGGTATCCCAGATGGGTGTCCGAATTAGGCCTGATCTACATGGTCAGCTGACTGATCAACGAGCACTTCAATCATCAGAGGAATATATGTAGACGGATATCTGACGCGCGCAACGCGACTACGAATATGAAACGCAAGTCATGTATTCAAAAAAGGCGCGTTGGACGATGGTGTATGCACCGGTGAGATGCACAGGGAGATCTGTCCTCCCGATCCGAGCTCCGGCGATCTCCATATCTTTTCTAAGCCTCATCTCGAGTTACACCGCCCTTCTCGTAGCCTTTGCTGTCACAATCAGAGGCTGCAGTGCGATAACGTAACTCGTATCTTCATCACCTTTGGCCTGGGGCAGAGAGAAAAAGTGTGGCTTGCTGTAGCTTCGTTGGCAACGCGGAGTAAAGGCCAACAATCAGAAACCGCGCGCAATAGGAAGAAACTAGACATCATGGTGCGTGATTGGTACGAAATCCAGTATGACAGTGATGACGTTATTGAGGAGATTGCACCGTTCCTATACATATATTCAATATTCTGTGTTCATGTCCCAATGTCAATCCTAGAGGAAGCACCAATGGTTTCGCACAGGTTTATTCGGAGATTTGGGCCAAGTGCACCTAATCGTACATCCCTCTTTTGCTATGCTCTTGTGCTCCCCACATATACTTGCGTGGAATGCGATGCCGTGTGGACAATCTTCGACAAAGTACTCACGCGCCTACGTGTCATACAATCGTAGAAGCCAGCAGTATTGTATGCATCTCATACAAATCGATCGAGACACCACTACACAAACACACTCAACGGGTTCTGGGGATTGTCCAGCTTCAGAACAGAAGTTAAGACTGCATGGTCGTTGTTCGTGTTCACCGCCTCATACAATTCATCCGCCGCTGACACCAACCTCTGCTTCTCCGTCTGCATGTGGACAGCAACCGCCTGTGCGATGAATCTTTGTGCCTTCGTGCTCTCCGCCCCTTCACCGCTCCATGCCGCGCTTTCCAAGCTGAACTCGCCGCTGTTGTGGGCGCAGGCGAGAACGCCCACATATGCGTAGCCGTTCTCGTCCCAGCCAGCGATCTCAGGCATGTCGCGATAGACGGCGGAAAGAGCATTGAAGACGACGCGGATGGTCTTCGAAGCGCTATTTGCAGCTGGAAGAGGGATGTGGGCGGTGAACGCCTCTGCGGCCCCCTCTTTGGCAGCACGAATACCGGCTTTCTTACACTTCGAGATGAGTGCACGGAGGAGGCTCACATACTCGTCGAATATCATGGCATTAGTAAGCGCGATGAGCCAGTGAGTGCCGTGGTCGTTCTTTCCGGTCAATCCAGTGCCGAGGCTGACGGACTTAGGGAGGTCCCACGCAAAGTGAGGCTTCCAGCCGGATTGAAGCTACGTGAACAACGAGACACCCCCAGAACCTGTATCACGGTGAATCTTATTCCTGTGACAGTTATGAAAAGCACGTACTCGGGATGACTCAATTGTCACTGTCGACCTTCATGTCCGTGCCTTTGCGGACGTTGTCGAGCTTAGGCGAGGTGGTATCTCCACTCCTGTAGAGGTCTGAGCGACTCATATTGGGAAGACAACGGCGAATGGTATCAAAGCTGGTCGCTCTGCCTTTTTATATACATGACAGCATACAGAACCCTGGGTATCGGCGAGCGCCATTCAAGTATCAGAGCGCGTTGTGGCTCTCGCACAGAATTACTATTGTCTTATACTTTTACTCAGGAAAACAAGTCCTGTTGCACTGGCACACGACTGCCAGGTGGCTCGCGTAGTAGATGTCCGATCCACAGACCTAGACCGACATGATGTGAACTTCTTGCGTGTATCGACCAGGAGGGAAGTTCCCTGGCAGTTCCGTAGTCGACTTGCGTGAGAGACAATCCGTCTTGGACACACCATAAATCCTGACTTGTGCCGTGGACTTTCTAGAGGATCACGTCCCGCCAATGGAAGGCGTGATGGTTTGATGAGCTCACTATTCGAAGAAATTGGCAATAAAACATTATTGTAAGCGACATATTCCATTTATGCACCCTTTGATACTCACCGGCATTCCTGCTCAAATCCGTTATATGACCCTGCACCTTCTTGCAACCGAAGGGATTTTGACTCATTGGTAATGGATTCACCACCCTATATCAGAATCACAAGTGTCTAAGGGTCGCATGGGTCATATGTCTTGGTCTATTCTCGTTTGAACCCTCGTCACACGATCCTCCACCACATGGTGTATTCTTTTGCGGATATGTATAGGTCTGGGTTGGTTCTATTCCGCGTCTGAGAGCTTCTGGAGCTCACGGAAATATCACGAAGACCCCGTGTGGATATATGCTGACTCGTGCTCGATCAGTACAAGCCTCTGGGGAGGACGGCGAGGACAGGTGCGCTTGCATCGCACATCTGATGGTTCGAGATGATAACCAGTTTGGCACGTCGGTATCGGGAAAGCCTCCAGGCATTGGATGAGGACCGCCATTTGCGTAGTCACGTATGAGAGATATGGACATCGTGATGTGGTCAATTGCATTGGAAGATATACCGGTACCTGTCTCCTTGTTATGGAGCTCGGCCTTTCCCCGTGGTTTGTATTTTATTGAACAGGTATACGGCGGCGTGCTTCTTGGAAGAAATAAACAGAACATGTGCCAGACAAATCATTTCTAGGGATGACGGCACCCGCACTGTGGTGGTGAGTCGATTTTGGTAATTATACTCAACAACCCCGCCGCTTTGATGGACTGCGTAAAGCTAAAATGAATCAACCCCCCCCCCCGCTACTTCCGCGCCAGCGAGTAATAGGTCATTACCAGCCGAAACGAAGACGTTCGCTTTCACAGAAAATGTAGGGTGAGCCTCAAACTAAGTATATACTATTTGAAAATCTACTGAACCGCCGTCGTGTGTCCTGATGTTCTCTACAAGTGAATGGAACCAAAGGGAACAAATATCCAATGTGTGAATGCGGAGCTCGCTTTCAAGAGTGCCCACGCTGTCAGCAGCGACGGTCCGTTCTGTGTTGTACACGGTACGTATACAGTCCGCACGGCGTGCACCACACAAAATGATCATTGGATTAGCTTAGATGTTGCACCCGCGTTCTCAGATTCTCCGGCAATATTTAGACCCAGGCTGTATCGTCATAGCGCTCAGCTGTCACCGAAAGTATGTGCAAGCGCTCACTGTGAGCATCACGTTGCATGGCGGCGGTTGCGTTTCTTATTAGATATCGGGTGAGTAGCAAACGTATTCTGTAAGCATTTGGCTCGAAATGATGACCCTCGACGTTTTGAACGTCGGCTTTGAGTGGTTCAAGCAATTTACCTGGTGCTATGGACAAGCACTTACAACCTCGTGTAATAGCAATGGAAGTCCATCAACATATACTTAGCTGTGACACCATTTTAGCGCATTAGGAACAGCATGATCCATACTCCCATTGGATGCGAAGACAGAAGTTCAAGCGTCCTGTCGGAGGCTGCACAAATCAGCTGTACCAGCCGAGAATGCACATGCTATGGGGAGCACTAACTGATAGCAAATGCGCCTTGTTCGCATCCGGGACATTCGGCAAGTGCTTATGTTCACCTGCTGACATCTCAAGCGTAACTGTGGGACCTTTGTCTTTGGCACACAATGTCGTGAGTCATTGAGCATCAGGTCATCTCCAAGATTTATATATATAAAAGATGTAGCATGCCACTGCGAACCTCATCCCTACAATGGCACCCGGACCCGAAACCACTTTCCGTGACCTCTCTAGCCTCGGTTGGCCTATCAAGCAAATTTTCGACAGGGCTAATGTGCAGCGCGGCGGCACTATGCGCAACACGGATGACCTGGCAATAAACGACCGCTTCGCAGCGCGCTGGGAGTGAGTTCTATACAAACCGTCGGTATATCTTACTACGGTCGCTCATACGATTCATTTTAGGTGGTATTGCTACAATATTGTCAAGGGCAATCTACGCCAGGCTAATTCGCCCCCATCGGATATAAGCAGCACAGAGACTATCTGGTCTTATGACAACACGCAGAACATTCAGCCGCACAACGAAGAATGGTCTGAATCCTGGACGGAGACTACCACCGCAACTGTTACCATCACCAATCGTGGTATATAGACCTTGTTGATGGAAGCGACTGTTCACCCATTTTGCTGACGCATGACCATAGCATCTATTTCGCTCGACTACTCTATCACTATATTCGATGTCGCTTCTAGCGGCCTCAGCATAGAGATATCTACGGAGTCTACAAAGAGTGAGACAAATGAGTCTGTGCATCAGCTCAGTGTCACATGGCCGATCGAGTGCGTGTCACGTAGCTTGTGACATCAAGTCATCATTAGTAGCGGATGCTAACTTAAACTCCACGCATAACAGGGTCGGCCCAGGGGAAATACTTAGCATAAACCGTACAATCACGAAGACAACCGGCACCTCTATCTATGAACAGGTTGGAGCTCACATCGCTAGCACTTGTGTTACTAACGTATCACAAACACTGTCACTTCAGGACTATGGAGTGTCAGGCATGATCGGAAGTATGTCGTCTCAGATATCCTCCGATGTGCAGCATTGTTTATTTCTTTCTATGGATGACAGCTGATGGAAAGAAGTAAGCCAATGTGTTCCTCTTTCGAAGACATGGCTGACGCAGCTCCTTGTCAGGTGGAAGGACCATTATTACTGGGTAAGTGATTTGTTGCACGCTATATGCGATGCCATAGCCTGACCCGCTCTTGCAGGGCATGAATGCGAACTGGCTTCTCGACAACCCAACTGGTACCTTGAAGCTACAAGGACATATGCAGTCGACCTCGTTCAAGTACACACTTGTTCGCGTTCGTTCTGGACAGGAGCCAACGAGTGTCGAGCTGCCGAAGCCTATAGAGATTGCCACTCGCACCCCTGACAAGGAAGAGATCATCAAGTACATGATCGCAGCTCCCGACGAGTCCGATGCGCATGAGGACATCGATTGAAGTCAAATGTGACCTGGAGGTGTTGTGTTTCCTCTATGTTCCATGGCGGTATCATTTTGTTTCCGGGCGGTAGCTTTTTCCCCATCAATGGGTTTTTGATGCACCCGTACCGAGCTAGATATATAAAGAAAATCCAGCATGTCCTCGGAACTCTATGCCATTAAACAATGTTAACTCGTGCTTGCACTGATACATTGGATCAAGATCGCTCAAATGCTTGAATGCAGTTAGTATAAGCCCCTTAAGTGATCCTCAGGGTGAAAATGTCTACACTGCCCACCGTAATGCATATACCATGGTATAAAAGCGAAGCAATTCAGCAGCTCGCAGTGAAGCAGAAATATTTGACACAGCAGACGGTGTCTGCGACAATACAGATGCTGCCCTAGAGGCCGACACAACTCAGGCTAAGGCAGCTAGAGCAGGTGTAGACTGATGTGAGCTGACAAACGACAAGGGGTGCAGAACGCGCTGAAACAAATCTTAGGCAAACTAAGAACCAAAGGGGTGAATGAGTCCTTAGGGTGAGACATCAACAATGTCTGCCTCGTACTACTTAGGTAGCATGATCTGTCTTCAATCCAGCGCCCAGTCCCGCCCACGTGCTACGGCACTTTGTCTCTCCTACACCAGGACCCCGGCAAATCCCCCAAGAGCTCTGATCCCGAAAACCCCGAAAAGGGGGCCTCTGGAGCCAAAATCTTACATCTCAAACCCCCGAAACGGGGCCCGGACGGCGGTCAGGTTATGTGCCAGGTGCCCCCGAAACCAGGCGTCCGGTATGATCCTCGACCCCCGAACATAAGGTCCATCCGGCCTCGGAACGGGTGCCGAAATGTGCCGGAAAGGTACGATGATACCGGTGACGTCTCACTCGATTGCTTCTTGATACCGCTTCGTCGCTATGTTACTTTACTTATCGGTTCTCGATACCAAACTTCATGTAAGTAGGAATTTATAGGTCTAATGATCTTGTGCAAATACAAAGATCCGAAGTAGAGAGATTAGTACCACGTCAATCAGTGGCCTCAGTGTAGTAGTCGGTACTTCTAAATCTATGTACGGCCTTGTGACAATGGTACAATCGCGCGCGCGATTTTTTGCAATGTTTAGACGTTAGATGCCATTTACCCCCCAAACTGACCGGAATCAGGCGAGGTTATGTGAAGTTCCCCCGAAATCGACCATGGGCTGACCCCCGGAGGGGGGTCCGCGCGGGATCAGAGCTCTTGGGGGATTCGCCGGGGTCCTCCTACACCCCCAACTCGCAGAGCGCTGGGAGCCATTTTGGTAGGACCATGTGACCAGCTTTGATCTCCCGCCCTGGACCGCTCGGCACCATGATCGGGGCCACCTGCGGATGAAAATGTCCCCGCCACTGAGCCATCCCCGACTGGCTCCCAGCCCGCCATCCCGCGTGAACCCATCTATTAGATAGATACCTGTACCCAGCAATGTAGCGCCCCCATCGTCGTACTTCGCTTGCAATCACGTATTGTATTCGGGTACGAACAATCACTCGCGTAGATTTCAAATGAGCCATATTTGTACACATCAAGTCCGATATCATGCCAGCGCAAACCTTCTACAAGTCGTCTCGCATTCCCGGCCTGTCACGTCTCCCTGCCCCATCTTCCTCCCCCGTGGCCCTGTCGCTCTTGTTTTCGTATCAGGTCTGTACTCATTTTCTTCCCTCACCCTTCGCGCTGATTGTCCAAAGATCAGTCAGGCCTCGACAATATGCAATCACCACTTACGCACACTGTACAGCTCTCGCATGAAACCTCCCACAATCCATCCCTGCATTGTTGTCCCGCACTGGATTGTTGTCAGGCACTGGTATAAGGTCTGTATCTCTCGTTAGATTCCATGACTATCATTCATTTGAATACTCACCGCTCATCTTTTCGACTGTTGTCCAGGTGTTCAGGATGCCTGGAGTTGTTTCCGCCCTGCATTTGAATCTTTTGGTAAGTAGCTCTCTATCAAAACTCCCCAAACATTGACGCATTTGTTAGATGCGGAGCACACAGCTCGGGAGGTACGTATTTTTGTGACAGCACCAAGTTGTGACCGACAATGACACGGCAGGGGTGCCGCGGAGAGCTTAGCTCATCACAACATGGCCATTAGAACAACAAAAACATATACCTTATCTTGACTTGCTAACAGCAGGGCTATACGTCGCGGACTTGCGCGATCAAGAGTTCGTGGTCGTCGTCGATATATTGCGCTGGCAGTTGCAGCCTGTAAGTTGTCGCTCATCTTGTCACGTGCCACATGTGTTAATCAGGATTTCATGGCTCAGATACGCTCGCTCAGACTTGCAATGGGTGTACACAATGGTGGTAAGTCAAATCAATCCATCGCGATATTATGGGGTACCTTTTAATTGATGCTTAGGGACATGGAGGTCAGCGAGATACTGATTGCAGTCTTATAGAACATATACTTCATCACCACTGCTCATGTGTTGAAAGAACCATGTATGAGTATGTTGGTCGGTTCAAAGCTGCCAAAAAGCGCATACAACTCCTCGAGAATGCGCTGCGCATGTCGGGTATACCAGTCCCATTGCGAAGTGACTTTTTGGCTGAGATGTTGATGGGCAAAGAGCTGATGGGAAGTGGTCATGCAGAAGTGATGTGCACCAAAAAGCATAAGATAGAGGAGTAGTAATATTTACTTGTATATATTCACAGCTGTATAGACTGCTACATGATTCAATTGCCTGCCTCTCCTGCTCTATCCTCCTCGTGTGTGGGAGCCAACCAGCTGATGTCTCCAGTTTCCACAACACAATCGATTTGCTGTTGAATTCCAGTGGCATGGATTTTCTTTATGCTTTCAAACTCACTATCGCTTCCTGGAAAGAGCTGACAGTCCAGCATAAGGACACTGGTGATGACCCTTATAGATTAATGTGTGAGTCAAGAATGAGATGTCAATGTTGCGACTTGGGGTCAAGCGACAGGGGAAAACCAAATGCTGGGGGCATTCGACTTATCTTACCAAAGCAATGGTGAGCTACGCTCAAACCTAAGGCTAGGGACAAGTGAATATATTAGTTAAGTAAGAAGGGAATACAAAGGGAAGCTTACTGACCTAGGGACAAGAGGTCAAAACTGAGGTCCCTAGGGCAGCAGAGGCCGGCTTATATACAGGGGTAGATAAGGGCAGGCTGTGCGCACTGGTCCGTGCACAGCTGGTCCGTGCGCAGCATGCTGACGCGGCCCCGGGGGCCAGTGAGTCAGAGCGGCTGTGTCAGCGGAGCCCGAGCTGTGCCGTGCACTGCCGTCCTATCTAATCTAATCGTACAGTAGATATGATGCGTCCGTATCAGGCATGTAGTACAGAGGTCGCGGGTTCGAGCCCGCGAAAAGGAAAAAATTAAAAAACAGCTAGGCGCCGTACCAACTCGTGATATTACCCCCTCCTCAACGGCGCATGACCTCATGCGAGGCGCCCTTGCCCATCTCCCACCCGGAGCAGCAGCGTGCTTCAGTCAGTGGCGAAGGCATTGGCCGAAAGTTGAGATCACCAAAGGTAGCGGCATTGAGGTGATGAGGGGCATTTGGGTTCTTCTGGTGGAAGTCGGCTATGAGGGCCGGCACATTGGCAACGTTGCGCGCCGGTTCCCATGACGTATGCGAGTCGTCATAACCCTTCCATTTGACGAGGTACTGCAGCTGACGCCGGAAGATCCTTGAATCCTTGATCCGCTCAACCTCGTACTCCTCATCGCCCTCCACCTCGATCGCAGGCGGTGTCGCGACTTGAGGTCAAGCGACTAGAGGAAAGCCTGAATGCTGGGGGCGTCCGACTAATTCTTACCGAAGCGATGGTGAGCTACGCTCAAACCTAAGGCTAGGGACAAGAATGTATTAGTTAGTAAGTAAAAGGAGTAAGTACAGGAGAGCTTACTGACCTAGGGACAAGAGGTCGAAACTGAGGTCCCTAGGGCAGCAGAGGCTGGTTTATATACATGGGAAGATTTAGGGCAGGCTGTGCACGTTGGTCCGTGCGCAGCTGGTTTGTGCGCAGCATGCCGACGCGGCCCCGGGGGCCGGTGAGTCAGAGCGGCTGCGTCAGCGGGGCCCGAGCTGTGCCGTGCACTGCCGTCCTATCTCATCTAATCGTACAGTAGATAACGACGTGTCCATATCAGGCAGGTAGTACAGAGGTCGCGGGTTCGAGCCCGCGAGAAGGAAAAAAAGTAAAAACGGCTAAGGCGCCGTACCAACTCGTGACATTACCCCCCGCCTACGACGGC